TCAGTATGTGTCATTAGGGAAAACAAATGTTAAATGCATTATTATTTGTGTGTCTTAGTTTCTTGTTGTTAACCAGTTCAATTTAGAGTTAAACGTGGAATCACCTTGTAAGAATAAACAAATTTATATATTTAAATTTAGTGTTAATCACGCTCCTTCACTTGTAGGAACAAACATTTTTTTTAATAAAAAACTCCACAATTTTTAAAAATATGTGATCAGACGAGCTGAACTCACGACTTTTGCATACACTTGCATCACTTAACATGTACAAGGGCAACATAATTATTTATTTAAATTTAAGTTTCAGCATTATTTATTCAAGAACAAGATGGAATATTGCAGTGAAACTAACCTTGTTTCCAAGACAGCCCATGATTCCTCTTCCCATACAAGAAATCCTGATATGGCCAATGTCTTTAACTAAATCCCTTTGAGCCCATATTGAAACAAAAATTCCAACCATTTGCTTGCTTGCAATCAGACGATAGTTCAAACGTTTAGGCAATGAAATTCCTGTTATCGACAGGAATTCATCTATACTTGGATCACCATCACTAAAAGGTGAAGCACAAGGGTCGCCATATTTTCTTTCTTTCCTTTTATTGGACATTGGATTGTCCCATGAACAGTTGCAGTCTTTAAGGAGATGATTATAAGCTCTAAGCTTCTTGCTGAGTGTTTTTAAAGATTGCTTATGAAAAGCGTTGTTGAATTTGGAGTGTTTTGAATTGGGGCTTGAATCAGAAGAATGCATGGAATCATGGTAGGGATTGTTGAGTGCGTGGCTTATTAGGCCTAGCCATTTTGCTGCTGGTTCATTGTCTTCTGATCCTAAAACATTTCCAGCACTTAAGGGAACAATTTCTTGGAACCTGAAAATACACAAGAAAGTAGGGTCAGAACTAAAGTAAATTATATATATTTCATACAATTTTTCAACAAATTATCCACCCTTTAAAAGGTAAATAACAGCTTATATATTAGGTACTGGATTAAATAGGATTAATGAAGAGATGTGTGTGCTGAAATAGTTAATTGTTGTATCTAATCATGTTCAATCTAATGTACTAAACATGTCAAGAAAGTTCGATTCCATTGATAAGTTTGGACCTAATTCAAATCCATAATTCATGATATTCACTTTTTACTACAACGTGCATATATTCAAGTGTTGTATTTAGTATTGGACATTAGAACAAAATGTAATGAATAAAATTTTAACTTCTTTGTTGTTGAGTAGTATCTAATCGAGCATACAAAACTTGCATTAATTAATGTATGACACTGAAGCATAAAATCATGTTTTTCTATAGCATTTAGACATGAAATTCTCCATCAATTTTCTGAATCCTATAAAATTATATTAAAAGCAAAGATGCAATCTAAAAGTTAATAAATTTTACCCCAATACATATATGTCTGAAGAGTCTTCCACCTGCAAGAAATCCTCAAGATTGAGTCCATGGCTAGGACTCTTCCCTCCAACATTCCATGTTGCAACAAAAACCCTACACTTATCAAAGAATAGTCTTTGTTAAACCTAGCTGCAAGGATATGGAAGAATCTACTTATAATCTAATATTAATTCATACCGAATATCTTGAATTTTCATAGCTGGTGACATCAGCTGATCAAAATTTGACAGACTTAGGCCCTCAATTCGCGCGCTACTATGTCGTTCTGAGAAGGGATAAGAAATCAGTTCTACCATGCTTTTTTATCTTCATTGTTCTGTGTATGACACTATAATTTTCAATTCAGGGCCTTAAAGGTCAATTTATACAAGTGAAAACTAGATACATTAATTGTTACTTCCTGGTTAATTCAATGAATATCTTATCAATAATCAAATGAAATTTAGTCTTCAGTTAGGTAAGCTGTCAAAACACAAGGCAAGAATTTAGATATAATTCTAATAATTTTTATTATTAATTACGTGGCATGCACCCGCAAAATGCTGCATCGACAAGAAAAGCAACTTTCTGGACATTCGAGAATTGCAATAAATATCTAATGCTTCTACGATGAATGTATAAACGATTGAAGAAAATATCATTTGAATTATACATAACACAATAGAAATATATTCATATCGTATATGCAACCAATAATACTGATGATTCAACCAATATATTCATACCGTAAATGTAATCTTTGGATCCATATATGTCCTAAACAACCCATATGAAAAAA